CCCCCGCCGCCCGCAGGGCCCCGGCCAGAGCAGCACGGTGAGTCCACCCGGCCTTCTTGGCCATTGCCCACTACCGGGCACACTGCGTCTCTGGAAGTAACCGCCACCTCCCCGGGCGTTTCCGCACTGCCTCACCTTGGAGGTTTCCCATATGGCCCCGGGGCCCACGGGGTCCACACCTGTGCCTCCGTGCAGTAGGTCACGTCACAGCTGTGGCTCCCCCTTTCTGCCTCCTCTGGAAAGAGTCTGAGCTCGAGGCCGTCCGTGGCCGCTGGCCATCCAGGGCCTCTTCTGGTGGCCTGCTTTCTCCTCTTCCTGGAGCCCTCTCGAATGTCAAACCGTCATACCCATTTATGGCTTCTTGAGACCCAGTGTCTCCACTGTGAACATCTAGAGTAAGTTGTCCATTGTGGAAACACTGGGTGTGGAAGAAACAAAGAAGAGCTGCTTTTGCTCCAGTGGGAAGCAGGACATTACTACACAGGGTGCCTATTGTGAAGGTCAAAGGCTAAGAAAATTTAGACCATTATACCAACCAAAGGAAAAGGTATAAGCTACCTTAAGTGGAAGTTTTTCCTGGAGAGATGCACCACCTTCTACCCACTGACACCGACAACAATATTTTAAGTTCCAAGTAATATGTAGGATTATAGACATTGTTCATGTATTCTTACAAGCAAAAGCATTGACTTGATATTTTTCCTATGTCGAATGAATTGGCCAGACATTTCTTTCACTTTTAACTAGTTAGAAGTTGATGCTTATTTTAGGTGCTGTGATCAGACAAATTAAAAGCAAGAATTGTTTGTCAAGTTTTAGTTAAAAGGAATTTTAGAAAATTCCCATTTACAGTCTTTGAGTTTCTCACTAGTGGCCATAGTCTTTCAGTATTGAAAGAATTTTGTATATGTAAATCTTGTATTTACTAAAAGTTTAAAAGCTGCAGTAGGAAATGTGTAAGCTTCTGTTGCTCTTTTCAAGAAGATGACGGTGGCACATTTCTCTGTTTAAGCAGTCCATTATATAAAGCGGTACCAAGAAAGCAGTAAACAAAAAGGAGAATTCATTCTTTACCTTCAACTAGGAGAATAGCAGGACCATTTTCAGCATGTTAAAGTAGATTTAACACAAAGATGCCGATGTTATTTTTCGGTTGTAGAAAGCTTTTAAAATACAACAAAAGAAACATGGTTCAGTTTAACCTATGCCCAGGTTTATGAATGAGATAGCACTTTGGTCATTTAGAATTTAGAAGTTAAGGAGTTTAGAAGATAAAGTATTAGGTTAGAGTTCTAGTAACAAGTTGGAAAAATAGCAGTGGCATAGGAATGTTCTAAAGGAATTCTAATTCCTTTAAGTCCTCTATGCCCTTCCTGGACCACCAAACCACCCCATGTGATGGACATTGATTTTGGTGGGGAAAGGAATAGAGATGATAGCCTGGCATACGCTTGGCAGAATCTCTGATATGGATGTTTGTTTTTCAGGTTATATATCTGGTGTGTATAAGGGGAAAAGACTGGAAAATGTATTCTTGAGAGAAAGAGGATAATAATCACCTCAAACAAAGAAACCCAGCATATACATACATAAAAACTAACTTGCTCACTTTTTTCCTTCTTCTCTCATTTTCTTTTTTTTAAAGATTTATTTATGTATGCATACAGAATTGGGGTATAGGCCAGAGGTGCAGGGGCGGTGAGAGGGACCAGAAACAGAGTGGGGAGCAGAACAGGCCAACTGTCATGTACACTGCTTAGGAGAGCAGTGGGTGGGTCAGAGAGGTCTGCAGCGCCACGTGGGTCGCTTCTGGGCTGCTGGGGATAGAACTTTTGCTGAAGCAGCTGCTGCTATCTTGCAGTGCTGCATCCTAACCTGTGCGCCACCAGGGAAAGCCCTCATTTTCTTTTTCTTAATTAAAAAAATTTATATCTCTATTTAAAACAACAATGTTTACTTCCCCCCTTCTCTCTCATTTTCTTTTTACCTCATGGGTCTCATTCCCAAGTTGTAGTCAAAGGGTGTGTGTAGTCCATTTTAAGAAGAAATGGAGAGGCTGTCTAGGATCTAGTTTTCTTCACTTAGTGGTCATTTAAATGATTGTTGAAGAACATACAAATTTAATTAATATTTTTTCAATATAAATAGTACATGAATCCACACATACCTAGACTACTGTAGTTTTCATGCATTTTCTTTCTTTTTTATCATTCTACCTATTGGTATGTGCAAAAGCTATGTCAGGTGTGGTTGTCTAGACCAATGGCTTGGTCGACTAGGAAACTGTGTTACTGATTTGGATGGGATGTAATCTGAAGTTTGAAAAGACTAGTCAACCTTGTTTTGCTTTAATTCCATATTCAAGGTCCTTGGTTCTTCCACTTTCCCAATTTTTATTTAGATTGAGTCTTGCCTTGCTTATAGTCCAGACTGCACTGCGCTTTCTTAGTTTCCATTTTACTTTGTGTTCTACCTTAGCTTATGGTTTGAATATCTCTCTTTTTATAGTAGAATTTTCTGTTTTAGGATCTAGTTCTTTTACTTAGATCCATTGGGAAGCTGATCTGTTCACCTTTCAAGAAAGTATTTGATAGAGAATATGAGAGTCATGGTTTTTTTTGGTCCGTTTTTATTATTTTGTTTTTAGTGGCTATTGTATTCTGTGGTATTTGTTAAAAAGCTGTAAATTAAGTAACAAGTCTGAGCAGTAGGTAAATCTGGCTTTTCCTGAGGATTGATGAACTCAGAGTCACTCATAGAAGGAGTAGAATCTTTTAAGAACAAAAGTCATTCTGCCTGACATTTCAAGAATTCTGGATTTAAGCTTTGCCATCTAGATCTTAAAGACTTTTTGAAGAAATATAGGTGATATTCTGTGAAGTGATGTACCTCATTAAACCCTGAGATAATTCTTAACAGAAGAATAATAAAAACTGAAGTATTTTAGTTTTTATTAAAAAGAAAAACATTTAAAGGAATGTCTTCCTGATCCTAACAGTATTCTTATGTTAGCAGCATCTAAACTATATAAATACTTGACTATCACTCAAAATTTGTCATGGTGGAAACGATTTATATTTTAATGCAGATCTAAACCAGAATATGGGAAATCAGAAATTCTTTAGTTACCTGCTTAATTAAATATGAAAGTTCATCAACAGCTTAGCTGTAATGAGGGTAAGAAGAAGGATTACCCAACAAGTGGACCTAGCAATTTGTAGTTTTAGCATGGGAAGCTGCAAAGAGAAGTCAAGTGGTGGATAGTCTTGGGTACTCAGAACAAAATGTTTCTTTAGGTCTTTTGTCTTAAAGAATTGTTATGGGTGAGTTTAAAGTATGACTACATGTGAAATTGTTATTCAAGTAACATAAAAACTGCTTTTTGTGCTTTAGAAG